AAAAGAGGGAAAATTCAAACGAACTAAAAACGAACAATTGCTTTACTCCGAATTGCCGCTATTTGAAAGTGAAAGTAAAATGCGCACACAGCTTTTACAAGCTATTTAAAAGTGAAGGAAAGCGAGGAAAAGAGGGAACGCCCCCGCGGTGATACCGGTATTAACGGTGTTGTCACACGTCGATTAACCGGTGGGAAAATTTCCTCACCGTCACAACCCTAGTGTGTATCAGCTGTGCTTTAAATCAGTGCATGCCTGCTGGAGATCTCATGCTTTATCGTTCCTGATGTTTCTCATCCAATCAGAGAGCGGAGGAGTCAGGCAGCGCTGCAGACGGTTCGTCCGGCCACGAGTCTCCTGCTGATTTCTTCAGTCAGCTACCAAAGAAAAAGAAAGACCGAGAGCCCTTCCAGATCCCCGTGTCCTCAGGTGAGCATCTCTGAATGCACACGTGTTATGATATTGATGTTTAGATATGAATGTGGTGCTGTGTTGAGCAGATATGGATGGTCTGATCAGTCAGGCTCTGTTGGTGGGGAACTTCGAGGCTGCGGTGGATCTGTGCTTGAACGACGGCCGTTTCGCCGAAGCCATCCTCCTGTCAATCAGCGGAGGGGAGGAGCTACTGAAGAAGACCCAGCAACGCTACCTCCACCGACAGACCAACAGCGTCTCCATGGTAACCGCTAACGACTGCATCTATACGGGATTCATTAGTGGAAACTTTATCAGTATTAACATCTCTACTGTAGCTGTTATTTATTTATTTGTTTGTTGGTTGTCTTACTAAAATATTAGTAATTGTAATAATAAAAATAATAAGATGAGTAATTATTACAACAATAATAATAATTAAAATAATTGTAAGTTGGCAACTAATAATAATAATAGCAATAATAAGAATAGTATCACTACTACAGTACTACTTATTAATTATTATTAAAGTATTTTAATAACATTTTATTGTTAAATCTTGTTAGTCTTATTATTATTGATAATATAATAATAATAATAAGACGACCAATAATAATAACAATATAAGAAGAGTGCTAGTACTACTTCTACTAATAATAACAACAATAATATTAATTAATTTAATAATCGCAATATTGTTAATAACAATACTATTTGGAATACTAAATTAATAATAATAACAATAGTTGTGATAATAGTTATTATTATTATTAAAGTATTATAAAGTTATTTGTGTTATTAGTTTTCTTATTAGTCGTCTAATTATTATTATTATTATTGATTAGAAAAAGATGACTAATAACAAAAAATTATAATTCAATTAATAAGTTGACAAATAATAACAACAACAATATAATAAGAATACTACTACTAATATTAGTAATAACAACAACAATAATATTTAAAATAATAACAATAATGCTAATAAAAATTAAATTAAATTCTTTAAATATTATTAAATAATAATTATTGTTGTAGTATTCATTTTCTTGTCATTATTAGCCTTTTTATAATTTATAATTATTATTTTAATAATAATAATTATTGGTATTTTAATAATAATAATAATTATTATTAAAATACTATTAAATTATTGTTGTTGTTCTTGCTGTTATTAGTATTGTTATTTTTCTTTTTATTATGAGTAATAATTATGATTATTTTTAATAATATCATTATTATTAGTCTCAGTATTCTTTTCACTATTATCATTCTTCTTATTATTGGGGAAGTGGAAAGGCTGTATTTAGGAGTTGTTTTTCCCCGTCAGCTGATCTCGTCAGTGGTGACGCAGAACTGGCGTGATATCGTCCAGAGCTGTGAGCTGGATAACTGGAAGGAGGCGCTAGCGGCCCTGCTGACCTACGCTAACCCCGAGGCGTTCGCTCCTCTCTGCGGTGAGAGCATCACGAGTCTAACCACAGTCTCTTGATTAGTCTGCTGCTGCTGACAAACACACTTCTGCATCAGTATAGAGTATAAGAGCTCTGAATGCAGCTCGTCCAATCAGAGCTCAGAGTCTGGAGTGATTGACAGCTCTGTGTGTGTGTGTGTGTGTGTGTGTGTGTGTGTAGATACTCTGGGTGCTCGTCTGCAGGCTGAAGGCACAGAGAAGCACTGTCTGCAGGCTTGTCTGTGCTTCATCTGCTCTGGGAACATCGAGCGTCTGGTGGAGTGCTGGACGTCACAGAGAGACTGTTCTTCTCCGCTGGAGCTGGAGGTCACACACACTCACTCTTTTGTATGCTTATATATGTGACCCTGCAGCACAAAATCAGTCTTAAGTCGCTGGGGTATATTTGTAGCAATAGCCAACAATACATTGTATGAGTCAAAATTATAGATTTTTCTTTTATGCCAAAAATCATTAGGATATTAAGTAAAGATCATGTTCCATGAAGATATTTAGTACATTTCCTACCGTAAATATATCAAAACTAAATTTTTGATTAGTAATATGCATTGCTAAGAACTTCATTTGGACAACTTTAAAGATGATTTTCTCAATATTTAGATTTTTTTGCACCCTCAGATTCCAGATTTTCAAATATTGTCCGATCCTAACAAACCATACATCAATGGAAAGCTTATTTATTCAGCTTTCAGATGATGCATAAATCTCAATTTCACAAAATTTACCCTTATGACTGGTTTTGTGGTCCAGGGTCACATATTGAGTGAATGCTGTCGTGCGCTGACGTCTGTTCACGTGCGTCTGCAGGATCTGGTGGAGAAGGTGATGATCCTGCGGAAGTCGATCGAGCGTCTGCGTAGCGGCGAGGTTTGTGTTCAGAGCTCAGCGCTGACCGAGAAGCTCATCCAGTACTCCAGCATCCTGGCATCACAGGGCAGCTTGAGTTCAGCGCTCCGCTACCTGCCTGACAGCCCAGACCAGGTGCACACACTAATACACATTTACATAGTAACAGTGAAACTTACAGGTGAGCAGCTCATGATTTCCAACATCTGCATGTGTTGTGAGTTTGAGTCGCTTATACTGTTGGTAACACAACACGCATCAGCTGTCCTCTGAAACATGTATTAGGAAGAAGCACTTATGAACCAACTGTTGTCAACAATAGAATTTGGTTTGGTCTTCCACCAAAATAAATTAGTATTATATTGTTTGTATTGTTTGGTAAAATTATTATTATTATTAATTTAAATTTAATTATTATTATTAAATGCTTAGTTTTTATTTTACAGTACAATAGAATTATTGCGGTTTTATTTTTTATTATTTAATAAAATACAAATATTAGAAGAAATAATGAAAATTATTTCTAATTTAAATACTAATTTTAATTTTAGAGTGCAATAGTAATATATTTCTTTATTGATTTAATTTTTAAAATTATTATTATTAATTAATAATACAGTATAGTAGAATTATTGCTATTTTAATTTTTATAATTTAATAAAATAAAAATATTTAAGTGATTAAATAATTATTGTTTATTATTATTATTCAAGTGCAATATTATTGCTATAATGATCTATTTCTTTATTTTTATATAATTTAATAAAATAAAATAATTAATATTAGTGCTATAGTAATATATATATTTTTTTATTGTTATAATTTATAATCTAGTAAAATGATGTGTGTAAATAATTAATAATAATAATCATTATTAGAATTATTAAATACTCAAATTGTATTTAACAGTACGGTAGTATTATTGCTGTTTTAACATTTATAAATTAATAAAATAAAAATATGTTCTCATGTTTTTTTCAGAAATGTGCCAGTCTGTTCTGTGTGTTGTACAGGAGTTGTGGTGAGTGATGTGTTTGGTAAGTGTGTTCTCTATATGTGTGTGTTTGTGTGGTTTAGGCTGGTGTTCAGATGTTGAGAGAGCGACTGTCACAAGCTAAGGGTGAGATCCTGCAGAGACCGCAGTCGTCTGCGCCAGCAGGAGGCGCTAAAGCACCAGCAAACACACACACTCCTGCAGCACACACACAGGTGAGACACAGCAGTCGTCTTATTAGTCGTCTAACAGGTGAGACACAGCTCACACACACACACACACACTCCTGCAGCGCACACACACACACACACACTCCTGCAGCGCACACACACACACACACACTCCTGCAGCGCACACACACACACACACACTCCTGCAGCGCACACACACACACACACACTCCTGCAGCGCACACACACACACACACACTCCTGCAGCGCACACACACACACACACACTCCTGCAGCGCACACACACACACACACACTCCTGCAGCGCACACACACACACACACACTCCTGCAGCGCACACACACACACACACACTCCTGCAGCGCACACACACACACACACACTCCTGCAGCGCACACACACACACACACACTCCTGCAGCGCACACACACACACACACACTCCTGCAGCGCACACACACACACACACACTCCTGCAGCGCACACACACACACACACACTCCTGCAGCGCACACACACACACACACACTCCTGCAGCGCACACACACACACACACACTCCTGCAGCGCACACACACACACACACACTCCTGCAGCGCACACACACACACACACACTCCTGCAGCGCACACACACACACACACACTCCTGCAGCGCACACACACACACACACACTCCTGCAGCGCACACACACACACACACACTCCTGCAGCGCACACACACACACACACACTCCTGCAGCGCACACACACACACACACACTCCTGCAGCGCACACACACACACACACACTCCTGCAGCGCACACACACACACACACACTCCTGCAGCGCACACACACACACACACACTCCTGCAGCGCACACACACACACACACACTCCTGCAGCGCACACACACACACACACACTCCTGCAGCGCACACACACACACACACACTCCTGCAGCGCACACACACACACACACACTCCTGCAGCGCACACACACACACACACACTCCTGCAGCGCACACACACACACACACACTCCTGCAGCGCACACACACACACACACACTCCTGCAGCGCACACACACACACACACACTCCTGCAGCGCACACACACACACACACACTCCTGCAGCGCACACACACACACACACACTCCTGCAGCGCACACACACACACACACACTCCTGCAGCGCACACACACACACACACACTCCTGCAGCGCACACACACACACACACACTCCTGCAGCGCACACACACACACACACACTCCTGCAGCGCACACACACACACACACACTCCTGCAGCGCACACACACACACACACACTCCTGCAGCGCACACACACACACACACACTCCTGCAGCGCACACACACACACACACACTCCTGCAGCGCACACACACACACACACACTCCTGCAGCGCACACACACACACACACACTCCTGCAGCGCACACACACACACACACACTCCTGCAGCGCACACACACACACACACACTCCTGCAGCGCACACACACACACACACACTCCTGCAGCGCACACACACACACACACACTCCTGCAGCGCACACACACACACACACACTCCTGCAGCGCACACACACACACACACACTCCTGCAGCGCACACACACACACACACACTCCTGCAGCGCACACACACACACACACACTCCTGCAGCGCACACACACACACACACACTCCTGCAGCGCACACACACACACACACACTCCTGCAGCGCACACACACACACACACACTCCTGCAGCGCACACACACACACACACACTCCTGCAGCGCACACACACACACACACACTCCTGCAGCGCACACACACACACACACACTCCTGCAGCGCACACACACACACACACACTCCTGCAGCGCACACACACACACACACACTCCTGCAGCGCACACACACACACACACACTCCTGCAGCGCACACACACACACACACACTCCTGCAGCGCACACACACACACACACACTCCTGCAGCGCACACACACACACACACACTCCTGCAGCGCACACACACACACACACACTCCTGCAGCGCACACACACACACACACACTCCTGCAGCGCACACACACACACACACACTCCTGCAGCGCACACACACACACACACACTCCTGCAGCACACACACAGGTGAGACACAGCTCACACACACACACACTCATGCAGCACACACACAGGTGAGACACAGCTCACACACACACTCCTGCAGCACACACACAAGTGAGACACAGCTCTCACACACACACACTCCTGCAGCACACACACAGGTGAGACACAGCTCACACACACGCACACACACTCCTGCAGCACACACACACACTCCTGCAGCACACACACAGGGGAGAGATAGCTCACACACACACACACACACACACACTCCTGCAGCACACACACAGGGGAGAGATAGCTCACACACACACACACACACACACACTCCTGCAGCACACACACAGGGGAGAGATAGCTCACACACACACACACACACACACACTCCTGCAGCACACACACAGGGGAGAGATAGCTCACACACACACACACACACACACACTCCTGCAGCACACACACAGGGGAGAGATAGCTCACACACACACACACACACACACACTCCTGCAGCACACACACAGGGGAGAGATAGCTCACACACACACACACACACACACACTCCTGCAGCACACACACAGGGGAGAGATAGCTCACACACACACACACACACACACACTCCTGCAGCACACACACAGGGGAGAGATAGCTCACACACACACACACACACACACACTCCTGCAGCACACACACAGGGGAGAGATAGCTCACACACACACACACACACACACACTCCTGCAGCACACACACAGGGGAGAGATAGCTCACACACACACACACACACACACACTCCTGCAGCACACACACAGGGGAGAGATAGCTCACACACACACACACACACACACACTCCTGCAGCACACACACAGGGGAGAGATAGCTCACACACACACACACACACACACACTCCTGCAGCACACACACAGGGGAGAGATAGCTCACACACACACACACACACACACACTCCTGCAGCACACACACAGGGGAGAGATAGCTCACACACACACACACACACACACACTCCTGCAGCACACACACAGGGGAGAGATAGCTCACACACACACACACACACACACACTCCTGCAGCACACACACAGGGGAGAGATAGCTCACACACACACACACACACACACACTCCTGCAGCACACACACAGGGGAGAGATAGCTCACACACACACACACACACACACACTCCTGCAGCACACACACAGGTGAGACGCAGCTCACACACACACACACTCACTCCTGCAGCACACTCACACACACACACACACACACACACTCCTGCAGCACACACAGAGACGCTCTCTGTGATGAAGAAGTGCATGCCGTCTGCTGATGATCAGCAAACATTATTTGCTTCCTCGTGGCCTTGATGAAATTGCGCATCTATTGAATATTGTGAAAGAATAGGCTTGCGTGCAGTGTGTGTTTGCACAGGGGCATCTCGTCTGATTTACAGTGCATTCTCATGCGTCATCTGCATGTTACAAGTGTTTGCTGTCTTTAGGGAGTTTGTGTTGAAACAGAATAAGGTTATAATTTAAAAATGTATAATATTTCTATTTAGCTTTATTTTTGTTTGTTTAATTTTGGTAATTTTAGTACTTCATCTTAAAATAATATATTTCAGTTTGTTCCCAATGCATAATTTCTAATTGTCATTTACGTTTTTTAATGATAGTTTTTCATATGTGACCCTGGAGCACAAAAGCAGTCTTAAGTCGCTGGGGTATATTTGTAGCAATAGCCAACAATACATTTTATGGGTCACAATTATAGATTTTTCTTTTATGCCAAAAATCATTAGGATATTAAGTAAAGATCATGTTCCATGAAGATATTTTGTAATTTTCCTACCGTAAATATATCAAAACTTAATTTTTGATTAGTAATATGCATTGCTAAGAACTTAATTTGGACAACTTTAAAGATGATTTTCTCAATATTTTGATTTTTTTGCACCCTCAGATTCCAGACATTCTTCAGATTTTGGTAGCCCAAAATGAATTTAAGTAGCCCGAATATCAAAAAAAAAATTCACTGCGGACAAATCAGCATGATTAAAAACTTAATTGATTGCTTTTTTTCTTCAAATAACAAGTCAAGAGAGTCGGGGTGCAACGGATCACAAAACCCACGGCTCGGATCATATTGCATTATCATAACAGATCGGGTCATTTTGCAGATGAGCAAAAAAAAAATATGGTTCTTTAATATTTAAATAACAGAATACTTCTTTGATACAACAGCAAAAACTAGTAGCATATAGGGATGTAATGATTCACTCAACTCACGATACGATACGATTCACGATACTGTTTTCACAATACAATTTCTTTTTAACAAAATGAGATTTAAGACAAATTATAAATGAAAAGGTGTCCTTTTATTATTTCTCCAACAAAATGCTGCACATTTCTTTGTGAAATTGAAATATGTCAAATAATAAAACGAACTTAAAATGTTAAAACAAATCAATTAATTAAATAATACAAATAAAATAAATATCTTCATATAAACAAACTAAGGCTTTAGCTGTGCTTTTTCCATTTAAAATCAGAGGCAACCATTGCATTTTAATCACGATCCAAACAAAGATGCTAAATACATGTTATGTAGATTGCAATTAGATTGTATAATTTCGAAATTTGAAGCAAAAACAGAATGGTTTGATTTTAGCTTTGTGAATGAGAGACAAATGTCACTCTCTGACAGCAGGTGGCGCTTATGGAACAGCAGGTATTTATAGGCTGCTGCCCCTTTAAGACCGAATGCACAGATCCAATATAATGATGCACTTGAGATTTCTTTCTCCACTGTTTACATTCACTTAAGACATAACCGACTGTGTTTACGAGAATGCTTGCCGAGACAGTTATTTTGAGATAATTTTGTGTGTATGTGTTCATTAATATGCGAAAGAGGAATCAATTCTGTGTATGCGCATTGTCTGAAACGCGGCTCTCTGTGCGTGCTTTGAATGAGTGCGCGCAGCTCCGAATGCGCGTGAATGGTTTAAAACACTTGAATGTTTAAATCGGCAAGACTTAGAAACACGTGCAAACGATCAACTATGATCCGTTTTACCCCTACAAGCTAGTGAACGTAGCCCCGAGACGTCGGGCTAGCGATTTTGCAAGCCCTGATTTTATTTCAGCTTTATTTAAAACTGTTAGTAGTTTTAGTAGCACTGTAATAACTGGCAATGGCTCTATCTTGAGTTCACATCATCATGCATGCGATGAGGTTAACCTGTGATCCAGTAGTTATTTTAGGCATGTGTTGTAATGTGTGTTCAGGGGCCGTACGGGGCCGCAGCTTTTCCTCAGATGCCCCGTCTCTTCACTCCTCAACCACGTGCTGATTCTGCTGGAGCGTCACAGCCGGGCCTGAGACCCGCCTACCCACAACACCCTGCCACAGCTCCGGGTACCTGTCAATCAAATCAGACTCACAATAAACACCAATCATTCAAATGCTGATATGCACACTGCTGTTCAAACGTTTGGGGTCGGGAAGATTCTTCAAAGAAGTCTCTTCTGCTCACCGAGGCGGCATTTATTTGATCAAAAATACAGTACAAAATTGTGAAATATTTTTACAATCTAAAACGACTGTTTTCTAAGTGAATATCTGTTAAAATGTAATTTATTCCTGTGATCAAAGCTGCATTTTCAGCATCATTACTCTAGTCTCCATGCTAGCAAAATGCTAACAACGTGTTAATCGTGCTAAAAACAGGCTACAGGCTAAACAGGCTATACTATAATTCAGGGTTTTTTGACATTTAATATGATTCGTGCATGCAATATTTGTAAATAAAATCTATCTAATATGCTAATCATGTTAGAAACACATTAGCAACATGCAAGCAACATGCTAATAATGCTAACACCATGCTGACAAACTTTGTAAATAATGCTAACACCATGCTGATCATGATAGAACCATGCTAATGATGTTTAAAACACGCTAGCAAAATGTTAACAAAATGTTAAACGTTATCAACATGCAAGCAACATGCTTATCATGTTAGCAACGTTAATAATGTTAACAACATGCTAACAAACTTTGTAAATAATGCTAACACCTTGTTGATCATGATAGAAACATGCTAATAATGCTAAAAACATGCTAGCAACATGTTAACGATATGTTAAACATGTTATCAACATGCTAATAATGCTAACACCATGCTAACAAACTTTGTAAATACTGCTAACACCTGTTAGCATTAACAATGCTGATCATGATAGAAACATGCTAATAATGGTAAAAACATGCTAATCATGCTAAAAACAGGCTAGCAACATGCTAATCATGCTAAAAACACGTTATCAACATGCAAGTTTTATTAATTCATTTCATTAGACACCATTGTGATGATAAATTTATATTAAATCATAAAACACAGAATCAAGAAAAAATTAACAGAAAACACAGAATTTAGAATTTAAAAGTAAATTAATTTAGAATTACATTTACATTAAATTTAAGAATTTAGAATTCAAAAGTAAATTAAAAAGCAGCTACTTAAGTGATGTTTTCATTCAGTCTCAATGTCTAACAAACATGTGGAAGCATTTCCGCATTTCCTTCCCCATTGATGAATATCGTTATAAATATTGATATCGTATGATATGGAAAAAATATTGTCAAGTCAAGTCACGTTCATTTGTATAGCGCTTTATACAATACTGGCTGTGTCAAAGCAGCTTTACAGAGTCAAACAGGAAAATAGTTTGTCAATGTTGCAAGAAAACAATAACAGAGTCATTTTTCAGCTAAAGTCAGTTCATTGATGATTCAGTGTTGTCATCATCCAGTTCAACTCTCTTCCAATAGTGTCTGTGCAATTGTAATAATATTTTTGGCCGTATCACCCAGCTGTACACCAAACAACAGTGTATTATTAGCCACGAAAAGTATGTGGACGCTCTTCAACCGTCGGTCTGTAATGATTAATTCCTGCAGGGTTTGCTCCGTCTCAGCCGTTTGCTCAGTCCGGTCCTCTTGGAGCTCCGGTGGGTTTCATGTCCGGCCCGTCGATGCCCTCCTCCAGCCTGGCGGGTCCCTCGGTGCCGCCCTCCTCTCCATCGGGTCCCATGATGCCCCCAGGGTTCATATCGCCCACGTCTCTGCCA